ACACACACACACACACACTGTATATATATTTTTGGTAACTAGCTGAAATAAAATAAGTTTAAGTTTTCTTTATATTCTATTTCTGTTAATGTTTATTTTATTTAAAGTAGTACAATTTTTTATGGTTTTAGTTTTAGTTGACTAAAATAACCCTAGTGCAAAATGAGAGCCTTACCTGTATATAACACTATTAAGAGAGTATGAGTTTCCATCGTAGGAGTTGGCGACCACCAGGAACTTGTCATCTCCCAAAGTAAAATACTCCCAGTCCAAAGCACTGAAAGACCCAGACAACAAAGTGTTCCTTAAGTAAAAATATGAAAATTGAAAAGTAAAGTTTTTTTCTAACGAAGACCAGTTCACAATTCACCTGTTCGTTTCAATATCCTGAAACTTGATGAAGGTCTGAGATGTCATGCTGAGCTCATAGATGGTGGAGTTGATGGAGTACAGAATCTTGCCCTCCTCCGTGAGCATCTGGCTGTTTGCCACAGCCAAGAAGACCCTGTTTTCAATCTGGAACATCTCCCAGTCTATCGCCCCAAAGGTCTGAAAGATTTTTTGGAAGAAATGAATGCTTTTACTCAGACAGGTGAACTTACTCAAGTGACTGAAAAAACATTTATAATGTAAATAATGTATACTGTATTATTGACCAAAAATGGTTTCAAAAACACTAAAAACTCCAAACTGATTTGCAGATCAGGGAACAAAGGAATGTGTATGTCTCCTTGGTGCTTCCATTGTGATGATGATCATGCTGAGAGAAGATCAAATAACATGATTTCACTCACTGTAATGAACTGATAAGGCTGAAACATCCCTCCCAGCCAGATATAGATGGTAGAATCAATGACTGTAGATCTTCCATTGAAAGTGTTAGCGACTGCAAGGAAGTAATATGGGCCGATGGTGAAAAACTCCCAATCATAAGCACCAGTGGTGGGGATTGTCTGATTGACCTCAAAAAACTCAATAACTGGGTTCCACTTGTAGATTACACTGTCAATATTATGGTTTCTCTCCCCTGTGGACAAAAAAACAACATATATGAGCCTAGACACAGTTCTTCGGCCACATTTTAACACATAAATCTGCATGGATTGACATGGTTCAGTTTGGATGGGTTCCAGCAGATGCAGGTGTATAGATGGGGCCCTTTATGGTTATGAAGTGCTATGAAAGGTGTCTTTTATGCCTGTGTTTCCGCTTTGATCAATGCCAGAGGCCCACGTAAGAACTTCACACGAACGGATGAGCATAGTGTGCTCTCGTAAGCGAATAGACATCAAGTGCAGAATCAAAGTGAACCACATAAACAAGGAGACCTTTTAGCCTTAAAAAGATTTCCTTGATGGTCTTTTTGTTCAGATTGTGTGCCTCAAAGACCATAGATTTGTATGAGATTCGTATGGAATTCAAGTTGAATCTTCTTTTAGAAATCATATAGATGGAACTTCCTCCTCTTATTGTTCAGCAGATAAAACCTGTCGAGTTATAAGCTAAAAGGACAACAACAATGCCACATGAGATGACAGACGTGCAATGAGCTGTTCTGATAAACATTACCTTGCCTATGATTGGCCACGGCGAGGAAAGTTTCGTCTTGAATGTTGAAAGCCTCCCAGTCACGAGCACTGTGTGTGTTCAGAGTCTGATAGTGAATAAATTTCAGCTTCCTTGAGCTCCACTTATATATCACAGACTGCTCCTGGTCCCCTGCATCCTTACTTCTGCAGTTAGCAACAACCAGGAACTTCTGTTACAGGAAAATGGTTGTAAGAAATCATGTCAGCAGCTTCAGTAAATTAAAGGGTACTGTGATGAAAAACAGAATTAAATTGTAATGAGTTTTGCACTTCATAATTTTAGGTGTTTTCTGCATCTTCAGAGGCTTTTAATGATCCCGGACAGATTTCAAAGCTGTGCTGATGGGAATATTTTAATGAATTGACTAGCTCTGAACTTTAGTTTAATGGTGCATTGATTTATCTTTTAATAACTGGTCACTGATTCAATTACAAAGGTGTCCCCCCTCTATTTCACTTTAAATTGAACATGAATCATAATTTTATCTTAGACTTCCAAGAAGAAAAACATATGGATAATTGCACTGCAGGTATTAACAGAGCCCCGTACGGCTTTCCAACTCTTGACTGTAATTATGCAGTAAGTTACGGTGAAGGGAAGCAGGAGGTGTCTGCAGTAAATTTTGGATACAGCATCAGACAAAATTAATTTCTGTTATTATGCACATGTGATTTACAACATTAAAACTTGAGAGCCAGGTTTCCACCCCCTCTCCCACTGGAAAACCACATTAAAAAAAACACTCGAATGTGTAAAGAACAGCTGGGGATGAGCAAACAGACGTTTTTTTACTCTGCACAATCTTCTGATAGTGGCCTAGCAGCTGTTCCACTTGGCAGCCCCATCAATATCACAGGTTTTCATTTATAAAACATTTAGTTTTGGTCCTCAAATTTGATTGGCTTAGCAGCATTCCAAGAGTGCTGATGTATCAGTCCAACAGCACTAAGAGTTTTTACTGTTTGTATTACTCTGCTTGTCTATGTTTGCTTCAGATATACTGTAAGTTTTTGTATTAGTGGTGTGGATGGTTTTTACTGATTATTTCTGCAGGTTACACATATGCCAGTAGGAGATGAAAAATGGCAAAAGTCTTTAAAAGTGAATCACCAAATAATTTACCAAATTGCTTCATTCAAGCAAACTGATTAATTTAGGAATGAAACAAGAGATTGCCTTTCTGGGTGAGTCATTGAATCATTCACC